TTATTTATATGTTTTAATAGTGACTCAATTAATTGTGTCAAATAATTGCATTAATTGTATCAAGGATCTATGAATTTCAACAACATGTATAGATGGAACCATTAAAGAAATATTATGTATCATTTATATTATAATTAGTTTTTTTGTTATTTTTTTTTTGTTTAACATTTTATTTTTGTATTTTTTTATTTTTTTAAAATTTATTTCACATAATTTTAAATAATTATTTATAACTATTTGGCATTATTTAGGATATACATCAGTTTTAATATTTGTTTTTCATGTTACTTAGATAGTTTCTATAGGCAAGCTAGCATTAGACTTATTGATCAATTGGTTATATAAGAGATGTTGTTACTTTCTGCATGTAAAATAATTTAAAATTTTTATGATAATAAAGAAATAATGTTTACCTACTTAAAAAAAGAAAAAGATTTATATAATATATTTTATTATATACATATATATTTGAAAAATAATAAATAACATTCTGAAAAATCAATATTTTATTTCATTTATTTTATGTGGATAATTATTTTTAAAGGTGACAAAAATACTAGATATGATTTTTTTGGATCCGACTTTTAAACAATACATATATAATATAAATTTTAGAATCACGCCAGAAAATTTCCAGTCTGCCTTTGAAAATAATTACCCATGTAACTAATTTTAATAAATCTTTTTGAATTATGATTTTTTTTTAGATTAATACATATATACAATATATTATATATACTGTATATACTGTATATTATGTATTAAACAATATATTGTATATTCTGTAAATAATTTTTTTTATAATTTAGATCACTTAATTCAAGTATTTTGAATTGTATTCCTATTAAAATAATAAGTAAATAATTATTTTTTTTCAAAAAAAGAGAATTAATTTGTAAAAATTTGTTAGATAACTCAGGACTTATTTATATTATTTTAATAACTTATTAAATTCGTATATAATTTTTCAATTCTTTTAGATGTTGTTGACAATCAAAGAATACAGATAATCCAGGAAATCAGGTCAAAATAGTAGCCAGTCCCTTGACACTATCTAAATTTTCAATTTTTAATCCTTCAGATGATTCATTGGCCAAAAGAGGCCCAACATTCATTTCTTTCCAATTCAACCAAAGGTTCTCAACATTCTCAACAAACTTATTTCCAATGCCTATACAAAAGATTGCGTCGAATCCTCCAGCTTTTTTTTTAAAAAAAAATAAATGAAGTTAAAAATTGAAGTGACGAAAGAATCACCAGAGGTATAACGTTCACTCACCGCCAGGCACACCGGCCATAATAACTCCGGGAATTTCTGTGCACGCGTCAAGTAATTTGGTTTGCACTGGAGGTTCTATTGGAGCGCCAGAGAGAGTTGACATTTCACGTAGAAATTGCCTAACTTTCTAATAAGGTGAAGTGGTAATTGAATCAGCATACGGTGCATGCGCAAAATTGGTAAAATAACAAAAAAACATACTTGGAATGATTGAAAAATTTTGATAAGTCCGTTGATAATATTGGAGTGTAAAGTTTTTTGTTCGGCCAGCGTCGCCCACTTTAGCATTTCAAAATTGAGAAAATTATTATCAATAAATGAACAAATAATATAGCTCCGACTCTTTCTTATGCCAACCCACCTCGGAACCTTTTACTTCAGAACAAAGTTCTATCGCCTTCTCATATTCAGATTTGTTATTCTCATATTCGCTTCTCAATTCTCGTAGACCATCAATGACCATGGAATTGTGAGATGCAAGTGTATCCCATAAAGCTTTTGCTAATTATTTATTGTAAAAAAAGTGTCGGTAGAGTGAATAGCCGTTGCTTCATGTGGAAAACACTTTATAGATCGCATAAATCAAGAATTTGCTACCTTGTTCAGGATTAGCTTTTCGCCAAGCCAAAACCTTTCCAACTAGTTTGGGAGTGTTGGATCCAATGTCAACATCGGCTATAACTAAGGTAAATCGTGGAGGAAGTGCGGTCGGTACCACCTCGTTATCCCAACTAATATTTCGCAACAAATGTTGAGGAGTATGCAGAAATAGTTATAAATGGGAATTGAGGATTGATCGATGCACTTACTTGCTGGTGGAAGGATCGACAATATTATCAATTGTTGCGCCATCCACGTTATTCTAATAATCGAAGCAATCGTCAATCAAAACATGAAAATCTAATGAGAATGGTCGCTTGATCCTCCAACCTCATCTTGAATAACCGGGTTCAAAATATCAGGTGAAAACCTTTTATACACGTGACTTCCCCAAACAGCTGCGGATACATCAAACCCCGATCCAATTTTTCCCTGTGCCAGACAATGACACATTTGAGCCACATTGTGAATTAGCGTTTTCTGTTGATTTCCAATATTATCGATGCATTGGAAATGGATAAGTAAAGCAGCCACCAGAGAAGTTATCAACGCTGCTGACGAGCCAAGACCGGTTTTATGGACTTGCTTCAAATTTATATCGTTCTTATTGAATGGAGTGAGCAAGCGTAGCGAAGAAGTGTTCAAAGGTAATTTAAGGATTTCCAGCTTTGAATAAAAAACCAACATAAACTTGCGTGTAAATATTTACCATCAAACGCTAGAAAATCGGAAATACAACGATTTACCTGTTTTCTTTGTGAATAGAAATCGTTGCTACCAGCGATGTATATATCCAATCCTTGATTAATTATTTCGTTAAATTTTTGTTTCGGAATTCGGTTTGCGATAACCGAGAGAGTATACTTGACGGTAATTTCAACGAAGGAATTTCGATTATCCTCATTTCTATAAAAAATTTTGTTGGAGATTTAATGAGGGGTTTGAAAGAGAAACCGCAAAATCTTCACAATAATTACATTGCTTCGACTTGACAAGCGTCATTAACCCGATACTCCCAGGCTGCGTCGTTGAATTGTGGTGAGTGAACTGTGATTTTTGAGCATTTATTTCCGGGCTTGACGATAGTGTAGAAACGAGCGTCTGTTCCAATTGTTAGACCTTGGTATGATCTATCGAGAATTAAATATCCACCAATAATCAGAACTTTTCCGGGAGCTGACACAACAGTCACAGTGGACGAAGACATGACTTATTAATTACGGATTGCCATTTTGGAACATCTCATCAACACATTGTTATCTCGTGTAACGTTGGTTGATAAAAAACGAGATGCATGTGTATTATACTGTATATTGCGTTCTTTTTCTTTGAATTCATAATATGTCATTTTCATTGTCGGAACCCGTCAAATCAAAACTTTATGTTTCACGTTCTACGATAAAATCTTCGAATTCGAGACATGAGAAAATCATTACCGGCCATCCATTCAATCATCATTTAGAACTCTTCATTCCTGCTCCCATTTCGTCTCAACAATTGAAACAATTTTCGAAAGAGATCTTTTATTATAAAGCCGACATACCACTGTCCTATTTCCTCGAACGTTCTTTTGTGCAAAATTATGTAAGGAGCGGTAAGCGACACCTACTAGTTCTTCTATTGTGATGTAGTTTTTCCCAGAATTAATCAGGTTCGAAATTAAAGGGCGCGTTATTGCTTTGAGTTTAAGTGAAGGCATTGATATATCAGATATCATTTCCCTCGACGACACCGGTAATTATAGATGGAATGTATTACGAGTGATGAAACGTGATGTTGGTGAATCAATAATAAAATTGTGAATTTGCTATGATAAATCATAAGTTTTTTCAAATAGGAACCTTGACACTGAACTTAACCAAAGACACTTATGAACAACTCGGATTAACCGGGAATCCATCGAAATTTGGAAGCAAACAACGATTCGGTAATTTACAGTATAATTGTTTATCGTCCATTACACGATTCATGAAATACATAGCAAATCAACCATTTACATTCTAATGATGTAGTGGTGAAAGTGGATTTATTAGAAAAATCGATGATACCCGGGAAGAAAGGGTTCGAACGTGTTAAATGGTGTTTTAATAATTCGTTGACCGATCCATTTTCATTCCTTATATCCTTCACTAATTTGGGTATATACTGTAGTACTTCTTGTAATTAAAACCTTATTTACTTGACCTGAATGATAAAGTTGTTTTTTTTAAACAGACCCACGTGAATCACAGGAGATAAATTTTCCGTCAACTTTCAATGCAAAGAAATTGATGGTTGATCAGAAAATCGAAACCCTGAACGATATTATAACCCCCGAAGTGGATATTATCAAGGACACAACGCAGGAAAAGCAGTGGCGATCCGATGTGGTGGAAATTTATGACTGGATCGGACTTGTTTCTCTCAAAGCCCAAAGGTGACAGATTTAAATATAATCTTATTGCGTTTGAAACCTTTTCGCCAACTTGTATTGATATTCGAATATAATGAAGGGTTTTCTCACACGATCACGTCGACCCATACATTTCCGTATATTCTTCTCCGGAACCTAATAAAAGTGGGGATGGAACAATTCTACGATGGACAGGTTTCATTCCTTCCACTGAGGTTTTGTCCTTATTTAAACTCGTTTCGTAAGTTGCTATAATATGTACCTTATTGATTTTGATTGTTGCATCTGTACACCACTCTAAAAGAATTGGCATGAAAATATTTAACAGGGAACTCGATTTACCTTGGGCAGTGATCAGCGTATTTGGGTTTAGAGACTCACCAATCTCTTGGGACAAGCAAGAACACGGTCATTTTATGAGCGGGGAGAATAACTATAGTTTTTTGATTTGGCCAGACGGTACATATGTATTATATCAAGCTCTGGGAGCACATGATAATTATTCGTGAACGGGTTTGTTTCCGAGATTTAGCATACTTCAATTTTTTGGAAATTTTAAATTTCATAAAGGTCATCATTGTGTTTTACTTGATTGTGTGAATGAATATTCATCAGTGCCTTTATTTTTAGGTATACATATAAATGTATATACTATGAAAATGCTTATACTAAACAAACTGTATATGGTATAAAACATTTTTTGTTTGATAAAAGTTTTTGTAGCTTCCTAATGTGAGTGTTGGATTTTTTTTAATAAAGATCTTGCTAAGCACATGTATATTTTTGGAAATTTTCAAATTAGATTAAAATTGTGAATTCACAAGATATTAATTAAAATGATTTTGTAAACCAATGACCAAACAAATAAAAATGGACATGATTTGCAAGTTTTAATATGAGAAAAAAAAATTTTTTTATTTTTTTTTTCCTTGACATGAATAAATTATATCTGTGCCAATTTTATTAAATTATTATAACAACGGGTTTGCATTAATTAAAGGTTGGAAAAGAAAAATGGATCATAAATATACAGTATATGTGTTGTAATCATTGTTTGCCAAAAGACCCAAGTTTTGTTAAAGATATTCGCTCAAAGATCACACACATTTCAAGCCAGTAAACGTGAAAGTCAAATCATAAATTCTGACGTTATGTATAAATGTCTTTGACGCTGTCGCCTTCATATGCTTCCAGCTGTCTTTTCCCTCTTCGTAGTAAATATTCTATAGCCGCGTGATCCCTGGGTGTTATGTCGTGCTGTCGAAATTGAGTCCTGACAAAATTTTGAAATCGTGCCCTCGTTTCCTGCAAATTGCGAACTTTGCTAAGTGATACAGTTAAGATTCGACAACCGAGCGATCACCGTTTACCAGTGGTTTCCTCTTTACGGCTTTGCAGCATTTTCTGTAAAAGT